TAAGCATCACTGGTGTTGTTTCTCTAGAGAACACACACCCTGACTCTGTCACCGTCAAGATACAAAACATTCCAACTAAGCAGGACCCCTCCTGTTACCATTTTGTAACCACACTCACTTGGGTGCCTTTCCCTCTCCGTCCTTGTGGAAACACCAAACCAGTTACCATCCAGTCAATTTGGAAACAAAGAGTAAGGAACAGTGGTCTGTAGGAAATAGAGTCTTGGTGATAGATACAAAGCTGGAGATCCCATGAGAGAATTGTGTAAGACCAACGACGTCTTCACCAACACAAGTGACAGCTGTACATGTGGACTTCTCCAGATGGAATACATGGAGGTAAAATTGACTACATCTTTGGAAAGAGACAGCAGAGAAGCTCAATAGCAGCAGTTAAAACCAGACCAAGGGCTGACTGGGGAACAGACCATCAATTGCACAAATGTAAGTTCCGGATAAAGCTGAAGAAAATTAAGATAAGTTCACAGGAGCCAAAACAGGACCTTGAGTCTATTGCAGCTGAATTTTGAGAAAGTCTTAAGAACAGATTTGAGGCTTTGAACCTTAATGACAGAAGACCTGGTGAGCTGTGGGAGGACACGAAGGACATCGTATGTGAGGACTGCAAACGGTCATTAAAAAAACAGAAAGAAAGAAAAAGTCAAAGTGGATGTTAGGAAAGACTTTGAAACTTGCTCTTAATCACAGAGTCGCTAAAGCCAGTGGATGAAATGACCAGCTCAGTGGATGAAATGACCAGGTCAGTGGATGAAATGATCAGGTCCAGGACTTGAATAGAAAATTGCCAAGGGCCGCTCAAGAAGATACAGTCAAATATTGTAATGAACTGTGCAAAGACATGGAGTGAGAAAAACAAAATGGAAGAATACGCTCAGCATATCTGAAACCCAAAGAACTCAAGGAAAAAAAATTGAAGCCTCAAGTTGCAACACTGAAAGGTTCTCTGGGAAAATATTGAATGGTACAAGAAGCATCAAAAAAGATGGAAAGGAAACACGAAGTCACTGTACCAAAAAGAACTAACTGACATTCCACCACTTCGAAAGGTGGTATTTGGTCAAATGCCAATGGTGCGGAAGGAAGAAATCCAAGCTTCACTGAAAGCATTAGCTAAAAACAAGGTTGCAGGAACTAATGGCCACCAATGGAAGCATTTCAACAAGCTAATGCCGAAGAAAGGTGACCCAACATGTGGTGGTTCCATAATCTGTTGTCAATCTGAGACTTAAGAGTGAAGGGATGGAGTTTAGCCTGTCAATCAGGTCGCAGCTGGATGACCTCATTTGGAGGCACTAAGGAGATAACTAGTTCATTGGAGGTAGGACACACACTGACTCCTTGTGAGACATTCCTTTTGAGAAGACATATGGAGCTACACTAGAGCCCTGGACTGAAGGAACCACATGGAGACCCCCTGCCAGCATCGAGATGAGATGCTTCCACTGCCACTGATCCCCAAGACTTTCCACCTACTGGCCTGTGATCTTCCTGCATTCACTGTCATGCATGGGTTGCGTTAGTCTGAAGAGGAATTTACAGATTGGTATTGGACATATGGCCTTATGGATTTGATCTGGACTGGGCTGGGATGTTTTCTCAATATTCAATTGCTCTTGTATATAAAGGTCTGTCGTAAACACACATGAGTGTCTATGAATTTGTTTCTCTAGTCTACCCAAACTAACACACAACAGAATGGGTAAATTATAGAACAATATCATTTATATCACATGCAAGTAAAATTTTGCTGAAGATCACCCATTAATGATCACAGTGGTGCATGGACAGGGACCTGCTAGAGGTTCAAGTTGGATTCAAAAGAGGACTTGGAACAAGGGATATTATTAATGATATCAGATAGATCTTGGCTGAAAATACAGAATACCAGAAAGATGTTTACTTGTGTTTCATTGGCCCCATCCTCCCCTGCCGTGCCCCTAGGAAATTATTTACCCGATAACTGTCTCTATAGATTTACATATCCCGATTTCCTATACAGTCTGGGATTATCATATATTTACTATTTTCATGCTTTCTTTGTGTGTGTGTGTATGTGTGTGTGTGCTTTTTTTAGTGACATGTGCTAGTTCTGCCCTTGTAAATGAATGTTATTGAGAGTTTTGCTGTATTTCCTGCTGTGGTAGTTACACAATCTGATGTCACTTGTAAAGGGGTGGAGTCTAGCCTGTCAATCAGGTCACAGCTTGATGGCCTCATTTGGAGGTGCCATGGAGATAAATACCTCACTGGAGACCAGAAACACACAGACACTCCCTGATTTGTCTTTTTTGTTGTTGTTTTTCCCTGCTTTGTCTTTCTGCTGACAAGACACATGGAGCTATGATGATGGTTGCCAGGGTCCTAGAGCTGGAAGAGCCACGTGGAGACCCATAGCAATGCTGAAATGTTTCCATCTCCACTGGATCCACAAGACCTTCTACCCACTGTCCTGTGGCCTTCCTGTATTTGGCATTATTGCATGGCTGCATGAGTCTGAAGACTGGTCTTGGATATATGGGCTAATATCGGACTTATGGACTTGATCTGGATTGGGCTGGGATGTTTTCTCAATATACAATTGTTCTTCCATATAAAGCTCTTCATTATACACACATGAGTTTCCCTGGATATGTTTTTCTAGTCAACCTGGTCTGACACACCAACCCTCCTCATTTCTGTAAACAGTGTAAATAGCACCCAATCACTTATGCTTTCAATATCCACAATATTCATGTATTGTGGGTAAAAAAACTGTCCCACACATGTATAATTTCCTTTTCTCAACAGTGTTTTAAATTCTATACCACTGAATAAATTCACTAATAGAATTACTTTATCCCAAGGCTTGAAAGTAATCAAGTGGCCATCAAGCTCAGAAGCAACAAAGCCCACATGGAAGAAGCACACCAGCCTATGCAACCATGAGGTGTCGAAGGGATCAGGTATAAGGCATCATCAGAACAAAAAAATCTTACCATAGTGAATGATGGGGGCAGTGCGGAGTGGAGACCCAAAGCCCATTAGTAGGCCACTGGAGATCCCCTTGCAGAGGGGTCTTGGGGAGGAGACGAGCCAGTCAGAGTGTGATGTAAAAATGATGAAAAATACAACTTTCCTCTAGTTCCTAAATGTTTCCTCCCCGCTCCCACTACCATGACTCGAATTCGACCTTGCAAGTCTGGCTAGACCAGAGGATGTACACTGGTACAGATAGGAACTGGAAATCCAGGGAATCCAGGGCGGATGAGCCCTATAGGACCAGTGGTGTGAGTGGTGAAAGAGGGAGGGTAGAGGGTGAGTGGGTAGGGAAGAGGGAACCAATTACAAGGAACTATATGTGACCTCCTCCCTGGGGCACGGACAACAGAAAAGTGCGTGAAGGGAGACGTCGGACAGGGCAAGATATAACAAAATAACAATTTATAAATTATCAAGGGCTCATGAGGGAGTAGGGAGCGGGGAGGGAGGGGAAGAATGAGGACCTAATGGTGGGGGGTTTAAGTGGAGAGAAAATGTTTTGAGAATGATGAGGGCAATGAATGTACAAATGCGCTTTACACCATTGATGTGTGTATGGATTGTGATAAGCGTTGTATGAGCCCCTAATAAAATGATTAAAAACAACAACAATTACTTTATCCCCATGGGGATGATTTACAGTGTCCTCCAATAAAATGATAATTATGTCTCTAAAGTGAACCACCGTAGCTCTAGGAATGGATTTTGAGCACACATTTCATCATAACCCTAATCTAAGAACAATTAGTTCTTGGACATGACCCTGACTCAATAATGACACTCATGAAGAGATCATTGAAGATGTGGGTGCTATAGCAAGTATGGTGAAGAAATCAGATGGTGCCCGGCTATCCGAGAGAATAGTGTCTGGCATGGGATTGGTTTGGGTTTATAACTGTGGCTGTAACCCATGTGGATGAAGGGGTTTCCTTGCTATGTTAGAACCTACTAGAGGAAGGAGAAACAGTCTTGAGACAGACTACCGTTAGACACTGTAACACCACCTTGCTGACTCCTGAATGACCTGCCTCCTTCCCCCTCCCATCTCGGTAAGTCCCACTAGTGATTTACTTTAGAATGCACTCTTATCTTCTTGGGATCAGAGCATTGTAATTAATAATATTGCTCCTTTTGATGTTGTAACTAGGATATTACTATTTCTATTTTATTAACTAGGGTGTTATAATCAACGTTGTATTCTGTAATGCTCACTAACGCTGAAGAATGGTAAAATTAATTTTGGTTTCGGCTTCTGTTCATGCTTGCTTAAGTCCTAGACAAATGATAAATGAGTTTTTGGCCTTTAAAGATGGACTGAAATGTCCATTCGGGACTTCAATCAAAGAATTGCTTTTAGATTATAACAGTCCGGTTATAACTGAATAAAGATTCCTGTAAGTTATCAAGACACGATAGTGGCTGTCATTTATTTGAACCTGCAGCAGTCTTACCACAGTAGGATGCAAACGAGCAGCATGGATAGTAAACCAAAGTCCTCACAGGGTTGGACCAATAATAATTGGACTATGGATCCAAACGGTCAAGGATCTCATCTTGCTTCGATCCACAATCCACGTTCATGGAAGCAGCAGTCGGGAGATCCAATGAAGGCTTGCATTGGGTGCGTCTGCTGCGCTGGACCTCTTTAAAGTGTTGAAGAACAGGCACGTCACTTTGAGGATGAAGGAGCTCCTTACCTGGCCGTGGTGTTTTCAGTCACGCCCTGGGCATGTGAGAGTGGGTCATTGAATAAGGAAGACCAAAGAAGAAGGGATGGATTTGAATGATGGTGCTGACAGAGTATTGAAAGTACCAAGGACTGCCAAAAGAACCAACCTACCTGTCTTGGAAGAAGTACAGCCAGCATGATTCTCAGAATCGAGGATGGGGAGATTTTGTCTCATGTACTTTGGACAGGCGGTCAGGAAAAGGACATGGTACTTTGTAAACCAGAAAGGCGGTGAAACAGAGGAAGACCCGCAGGAAGACGGATTGACCCACCATGATTGCAACGATGGGCTCAGACAAACAGCGGAGGTGAGGAGGGTGCCAGACTGGGCAGTGTTTCCTTCTGTGTGCACAGTCGGAACCGGCTCAGTGGCATGCAGCAACCATCACCGCCAGTCCTCATGAGGTCTGGATTCGGAAATCTCCAGCTGGTTCTCGGTGCCCCTCTTATTATTGTTACGAAATCATTTTATTGGGGGCTCTAACAGCTCTTATAACAATGCATACATCCATTGTATCAAACTCATTTGTACAGATGTTGCCATCATCATTTTCAAAACATTTTCTTTCTGCCTGAGCCCTTAGTATCAGCTCCTCTTTTTTCCCCTCCCTCTCTCACCCTCCCGCCCTTGTGGACCCCTGGTAAATTATGTGATTATTATTTTCATATCTTACATCACCCACTGTCTCCCTTTGCCCACGTTTCTGTTGTTCGTCCCCCTGGGGAGAAAGGTTCTACATCGATCATTGTAGACAGTTCCCTGTTTCTCCCCCTTCTTGTCCCCCCTCCCCCATGATATCACTACTCCCACTAGTGTTCTTGAGGTGTGTATCTGTCCTGGATTCTGTGTGTCCAGGGCTCTTATCTGTACCGGTGTGCATGTTTGTAAGGTAGAACTATGGTTATACTTGGAGGAAGGAAGCATTAAAGAACTAGAGGGACACGTGTTCCATCAGCGCTACGCTGCACCGTGCTCTGTGCCCCTCTTAAAAGAGGTCCCGTGCATTCACTGTGTGTGTGTGTGTGTGTGTGTGTGTGTCATCTGGTCTAGGGTCTGCAGCCTGCTATGTGGGTGGGGCCTGCTGTCACAGAGTTGCTGAAGGTGATTCTTAAGATGAGGGTGTGTTAATCCAGATAGGCTAAAGAAACAAATTCATAGACACTCATATGTGTATAAGAAAGAGCTTTATATACAAGAGCAACTGTACATTAAGAAAACATCCCAGCCCAGTCCAGATCAAGTCCACAAGTCTGATATTATTAGCCCATATGTTCAATACCAATCTATAAAGTCCTCTTCAGACTCATGAAACACATGCAATGATGTCGAGTACAGAAAGATCACAGTCCAGTGGGTGGGAAGTCTTGTGGATCCAGTGGCATTGTAAGGATCTCCGCGCTGGCAGGGGTCTGCACGTGGCTTCTCTATCTCCAGAGGTCTGGCTCCACCTGCCTCTCTCCACATGTCTTCCCCACAGGGATGTCTCGCAGGGAGTGAGCATGTGTCCCGCCTCCAGAGGGCTATTTATATCTCCTTAGCACCTCCAAAGGAGGTCATCAAGCTGCTACCTGATTGACAGGCTAGTCTCCACCCCTTCACTCTGAATCTTCAAATTAACACCAGATTATGTAACTACCACAAGGGTCTTCACTGTGGCCCATGCTGCTCTCCCCCCTCCCCCTTGGCACCCACTCCCCAGCTGCTTCCCCTCCCACCCCCAAGAGACTCTCACTGCTATCTGAGGGGGTGTGCTCAGGGGCTCCACCTGTACCCTCCGTTAGCCCTCCTCTGTCTGGGGTCTTTGAGGACTCCCTATCTGTGTGCTGGGCACAGCCAGCACCCTCCCTGCCCTGGTGAGATAGCACAGGGACCCAGTGAACCAGCAGGAGTTGGCTCAAATTCTGGGTTCACTCTTTCTGGGAGCAAGGAGCTCATCCCTCCTAGAAACTCCCCCCTGCATCTGGGGGATCCGATATTCCCTGGGAAGCTGCCTCTTACCATTCCCAAGGTGTGTGACCCATAGGTGCACACGGAAGGAGGATTCTCTTTTCATGGGAAGAAAACGTAAGGGAAAGATTTCTCAGGAAGATGACGGCGCGAATGCCCTATGGAGTGAGCTGCAGGGCCTGCACACTTCCCTGGGGGCCCTGCCGCTCCTTCCTCCCTGACCTCCGCGCCTGAGCTGGTCTCAGCCAACAATGGCCTGCCCACCAGCTGCCACCCAGACCACAGGGCAGACCACACAGGGCCAGGGTATCAGGGCCCCAGAACACCATGTCCCATCCAGTGCAGGGCCACAAGGAACCACAACCAGGATCCAACAGGACACCCCCACCCCTACTCCCCCACCCCGAAGCTAGACTGGATGGCAGGGCTCTGGGCCAGTTCCCTCCATGTGGTTCCCTGGGAGTCCTGGGCTTGGCTCTGCCTGGGTACCCTGGCCATCTGTCCTGCCCCCTCTCTGCGTTCACACAGACGGAGCATCAGGCAGGTATGTCAGCTAAAGCAATTTATTTTCTTAGTGCCCCCCAGCCCCTGGCCTGCGCAGCAGCCATGAAGGCTCTCCCCTCGGGGGCACAGCCGGGCAGCGGCTCAGGCCTGCCTCTGAGTCGATGGCACATGACCAGCACACTGTCTGGCTGTCCAATGGGCAAAGAACTTCCAGAGAAGCCAAGACTGGGGCCCAGCCGAGCCCACCTGCAGATGGGATTGCGGGAACCAGAGACCACAGACCCACCCCCACCCCTATCGCTCTCCCTGTAAACACATCTGGGCCACCGTCACAGGGTCGGGGGCTTAGTCAGCAGCCACTTCCATCTTGGCAGGATGGATGGACCATGGCACCTGATGGAAGCATCTAGAAGCTGGGCTTGGAGACCCTGCCAGGGGTCGGGAAGGCTGGGCAGCAGGAGCAGGTGTCACCCAGTGCCGGGACATTACACAGTGGCACCAACCACCACGGGGTTTGGACAGCCACTTTTGGCCCACGGGGATTCCAGGGAGTCTCAGCCCATTTCAGCTTCCAGATTTTTCCATGGCAAGTAGGGATGGGCCCATTCATGGGAGCAAACACCCGCATGCTAAGTAACTTTGGCAGCAGCTGGACTTCAAATCTCAGAAGACAATCCATCCGTGAGAGGGATAGTGATGGTGCCAGGGCAGCCTGGGAGCCCATGCCACAGGGGCCAGGGCCTGGTTACCATATAACCCGCTTCCCCAACTGCAGGCTAAACATTCACATAGTGCGTGTCCTGCTGACCAGAAGCCCCCGCCCCCCGCCCCCCGTGGGTGGTGGCAGGACAGTGGTGGCCTGTGTGAGTGTTCGGTAAGCCAAGGCAGGGTCGAGGTCGTGGGGCCGCTGTGGCCTAGCTGACAGGCAGGATGCAGGACACGCGAGGCCAGCTTTCTGGACTCTCACCAACTCCTGTGGCTCTAGAGGCGGCTGGCCGGGGATGGGGTGCGGGAAGGGAGGTGTGAAGGTGTCTTTGGGCAAGAAACACCTCAGACACCACCTTCCGATGCTTGCTCCAACTGCTGGCTTTCCCATGGAGCACCTCAGGGGGACAGCCAGACAGGTGTGCTCCCAGGGGAGGCAGTGTGCATCCCCACCGGTCCGAGAAGAGGGCAGCACACAGGAGAACATGCACGCATATGCAAACACACTCCATGTTTTATGTGCACACAACACGCCTTTACACACACATCACATGATGTGTATACACATGCACACATATGCACACACCATGCCACATACCAAATATATTTGCACACACATCTACACATACACATGCATGTGCACACGCACATAACGCTCAAATAGACATGTGCACGTGTATGTGTATGAATCACATAATGCACACTCAAGCACAGGCATCTAAACACACCGTTATACACACATACAGCATGCATCTTATGTGTACACACACGAACACACACATGCATACACACACCACACAATACTCCCAACATACGTTTACATGCACCTGTACCTATGCAGATGTAGGTGCACACAACACTCAAACACATGTGCTCACATATGTGTGTGCGCATGTCACATGATACAGATGCATGCGCACACATATGTACCCAAACACCCCACACATGTACACGCACATACATACAGCACGCACACTTGTGTACACCACGCACATTCAGCACCCACACACACAGATTGCACGTGCACGCAGAGATGTGTGTGCACTTCCGGCAGCCACTCTGTGTCCTGCTGGCAGCCCCTTCCTCACAGTGCCTGGGGCTGGACGCCCGCTCAGTTCTTGAGGTCTCCATTCACTGAGGGCAGGGACGGGCCACTGACCAGCCCCCGCTGGTCTTCGTGCCGCCCGCAGCGGCTGCGGATCAGTTTGTAGACGGCGAAGCCGGGGATGGTGAGGCAGGGCACCCCAGCCACGATGACCACCACGGCGTACACCCAGTTGGGATAGGTGGTTTTCTCCGACTTCGGGAATTCCGACTGCGGAGGAAGTCATACTGGGGTGAGCAGTGCGTGAGGACAAGGGTGTGTGTGTGGGTTTGGGGGGGGGTTGGGGGGTTGTCTCCTCAGGGGGCCGGGAGGAGAGGGACAAAATGCTGCCGTAACCCCAGGCTGCCACACACCCTCTGCCATCCCCTCACCCTCCTCTGCCCTGTGTGCGCCATCAGCCCACCTCCTGCCTCCCACCTCTCCCATCTACCCCATCGCTGCACCCTATCCCTCCCCCCTGAGCCCTCCTCCCTCTTCCCTCCTCCCTCCCATGTTCTCCAAAGGTCTTCTCTCTTTCCCTACGCCATCTCGCCATCTCTCCAGCTCCCTCCTCCCCACTCCTCCATCTCCCCACCCTCCTCCCCGCTCCTCCCACTTCCTCCATTTCCCCAGTCCCCCTCTCTCCAATTCCCACTCCCCGAAGTCCCTTCCCAGGCAGCTGACCCTCTGCCTCTCCCCTTCCTGAGCCCAGTGGAGCCACCGCACTCACGTAGTTGGGGTCCCAGACGCTGTATATCAGCTCCTCGTTGACCTTGACCACGAAGAAGAAGAGGAAGATGACCAGCATAAGCAGTGGGCTGATCACTCTCCACATGACTTGCCAGAAGATATTGGGCTTGTGGCCGATCATGAACTCGATGTCCTTGTTAAACCTGGAGGAGGGCCAAGGGAGGAAGTCCACCAGGTGGACAAAGCCAGGCCACTGCTCCATCCACGCGCCCTCCCCTGTCTCGACAGGGACAGAGGAGACCAGGCTTGAGTGAGAGAATGGAGGTGTGGACTTGGGTCTGGGGACAGGTAGGTCTAGAGGGGACCCAGAAGGGCAATAGAGGACAGTGTGGGTAGCTTCTGGAAACCCATCAGGGGCCCCTGGACCAGTCTCAGATCCCCGCCTGACGCCTGCTGCCCAGTCCCCGCTGTTCCCATGGAAGTCCACGTACACACAGGTGGACCGACCGACCGATCACTGACGTGTGGTTTCCTGCCCAGTGCTTTGCTGCAGACCTTGAGGGCCTTCCCTGCCTACCTGTCCATGCCGCACACGCAGACGACCTGTCCCCCTACCTGTCCACGCCATACACATACACGACCGCGAACATCTCGCAGAAGGCTATGACCAGCAGAGGGATGGAGCCGGCATAGCTGTCCAGCAACGAGAGCCAGTACTGGCCCGAGTTCAGTGTGAAGATGAAGGCGATGAGGTAGGTCCCCAGGCAAATCAGGCCTGCAGGCAGACGGAGAGGTTACCTGAGGGTAGGGGTACCCAGTGAAGCCCAGGGGTCGGGTGGGAGGCTGTGGCCTGGTTGGGAGTGTCGCTGGGCCACCAGCCTTGGCGATTCGAGTAGCTGCACAACTTTCTACAGCCGGGTCCCAAGTCAGCATGGGCTCTGCATTCAGACATCAGACTTTGGACTGATTCCATCTCATGAAGCAGTAATCACAAGAACAAAGGGAGTGCTGGCAGCACCGTGTTTGGGGTGGAAGCTGGTGGCAGTGTGGCTGGCATTGTCTGCAGGGTGAGGCCCTAGCCCGTGCAGGACACTGAGGCGGGCCTGGCCTCAGGAGTCCCATTCCGGGACTCCCTGCAGGTGTGCCAGCTCTAGCACTAACAACCCAAATGGCCAGTGCCCTCCAGAGAGGGCCATCTTGGGGCAGATGGGTTAGAAGGTCCCTGAGACCCCACCTCCCTGTCTCTCCGAGAGCAAGCCCTGTCCACAGCAGGCCCTGCATATCACATCTTACTTGTCTGGTCAGGTTCCCCTCCTCCCCAGCCAACATGCATGCACCTCCTTTTCCATGTCCCCCCACCCCCCCAGCC